ATGCTTAGTAATGTATTGTTAAAGTTTCTTAACTTTTATTTAGTATTCAAATTTTACTCATTAAAGTTAATTTAAAATATTCCATTCCGGATATTATTTATGTAGTCAATTTTTCATTTTGACTCGCTTTATGAGGAACAATTAGTGTCCCCCTTAGCTAGGTTAAATAGACTACAGGTGTACCTACTATAGCAAAATAATTATCAACTTCTATATCAAGCAAGTCGATATTTGTCGCATCAAGCTTGTTTTACTTAAAGACAAGCCGGCCGGAAACATATGACTGAGCAAATTGTGGCGGCCGACGCTTTTTACTTTATAATGAAGTGCGCTACTTAGTTGCGATTATAGAACGGCACGGAGGCCGAAGTTTGTGCATAAATTGTGCTCCCGGGACGTTGTTACACCCACATTACCTCGGGAAGAAAGGGAGGAATTCCGAACAAAGGAATTTGCGAGGCGGTGCGATAGTCATGCAACAGGAATCGCCTGACTCTATTATAGGAACCGTACCACCAGTTTACTTTATGTCTAGAGATTTTTTCAGTACCTTTGTCAGAGAAGTATGAGTTGTTTTATTCGTCTATAAAAGTTTGGTGCTGGCACTGTTAATAATTATGAACACTGCAGTAGTATTTCTCACCCAATGTTGGTATCTAAATATTTTGCGGATATAATAGCAGTTTGAATTGCAATCCGCCGTAGGTGCTTCCACAATCAACGCAGGCTTAAAACAAATTGAAGTTAAAATACTTAATATTGACTTGTTACATTTTATGATTTTGTATTTCGAAATGACCTGCACCAAAACTATAAGAGCTTTTAAAATAATAGATGAGTAATGTATCTAATCAAAGTATGTTATGTGTACGTAACTTAAAAACTTGTAAGTATAGCGTCACGATTTAATTTTTCATTGAAATTCATTTCATTTTATTACGAATTCTTGTTTATAAATTTGCGGTTTCGTGTTCTATGCATAAAATAACCATGTTTCGAATTTATTGAATGCTTACATGGATGATTCTGAATATCCGGCAACTGAAACTACTTTACTATAAAAACTAGACATTAAACGGATATCCGGTGACTGTCCGGTATCCGGCCTATCTGGCCTAATTTTACTATCCGGCCGGATACCGGAGAATACGACAATCTCCGGCCGGATACCGGATATTAAAAACTGAGACAAATTCGCAGTCAGTATGTCAAATAAATTGATTTCTTGATTAAAGAGGATAATAATAGGATAAATAAATAGCAACTACACGATATCGTTGCCAATCTGTTCATTATTTTAACTGTAAAGAACTACGAAGTTAGATAACGTAATCTGTAAATTTAGTACCCAAATTTCAATAAAGGAAAATTTTGGTGGATGAAGACCAGTATTTCTGCAATAGGTGGTAAAACTCGGTTTCGTTTATTTTCATAGGCAAGACTAGCTTCAGAGGACAGCTTTTCTCTGTAAACTCTTGCAAACTTTGTTACATTTAAGTACTGTTTGATATTACCAGACCATCAAATAAAAGAATCGCGATCACGACCGATTCGAACTGTCTTCAAATAATAATCGAATTAAAATAATTACTTATGTTTTCGTACGAACAATGTGTAACGATAATAATGAAACGTGTAAGTAGATTTAGAAAGGTCTAGTTGTTTGCAGGATATCCGGTATCCGGTATCCGGCCAAATCACTATCCGTTTCATCTCTAATAAAAACCATGAGGTAGGGTTTCTTCTGGTTCAATCGTATGTATTGAGTCTAGATTAGTTAGTTTCTTACCTATTAGATAGCAAGGTATTTTGAATCTTACTGCTGTCGTCCACATTACCTCCATTGCAAAACTAGATGGTTCTCTTACCCACACTGCGGAAGAGTAAGCGAACCTGCCTTCCTATTAGTGGATGATTCGCGGCTACCCACCACTTACAATTCACCATCTACCCTTGTTCACGTCACTGGTGGTAGCCATTATACATACTAACAAGAGATACTAAATATCTATAAACTGTGGAAGTGAATATGGATTGTGGAACTGTTGGAATTCCAGCAATTGTCCTGCGTAACTGTGCACATGAACTGTCTCTAAGCAAAAAAAGGCGTAACTTTTTCAAATCGTATTTTTTTGTTCCCTACCAAGAAGGGTCGAGGGGTAAAAGCGAAACCGTGTACACTTCAGTCGATTTCACTTCAGCTGAAATTAAAGCTAGCTAGGATCAGCGGTTTTTGAGATTAAGGCCGCTCTTTGTTGTTGCCACTAGTATATTATAATGGTAATAGTACATACAAAAAAAACACAACATTGTATGAATTCTAATGCTCTATTGGCGCCTTCGTAATATGGGTTACTTTGCAGCGTAGCGTAAGAGAGGTTCTTGAATTCATTTGCGTTTTCATAGAGTGGATGCGTATGCGCGAATATTGGCGGAATTGGGCAGCGCGTGGAACAAAGGTAAGTAAAAATTACTCTCACAGCCTTTGCAACGAAACATTTTTTGTATGGCGCGAATGTAAGTGTGGGCGCTATTTCTGCAAGCGTTCTAAATACATGCAATGCTCTTTTCTAAACCGATTTAAAAACCACTTAAATTTACATAATATGTAGCATAGCGCCACACGTGCGAACTGAAATAGCGCAGTCACCCCCAATCCGCAACATCCGAATAAGTAAATATGGGAAAATGCATATAGAGCGTAATAGCCAGGTGATAACTTTGTTATTATATGCCATTTCTGGTTTTAACATTCAGGTTGAATTCCTGATTCTACAACTTTGTAGAGTTCTTGCCTATTTGTAGATTCTTTTCTTCGAGTACAGTTTTTTAATGAAAGTTTTAAATAATTGGGGCCAACTTATCTTCATCTACGACTTCTCGATGTAACAGTCTGATGCTGATGAGATTAGCCACTTCTGCTTTAAGTTCCTGAACCATAATGTACTTTCCTTGGTTTTCGACATCACTGAATCTACTAGGTCAATTTTTATTTTCTATTTATAATTTTCGTAGCTGTCTGTCCAAGATTATAAATTTTTACTTAATGTGTTTATTTGAACCTATTTTTTTCGAGTCTAAATCGGTATATTTGTTTTTTCAAACAAACCAACGTTTCGGGCCCTTTATATGTGTTTAAAAAAAAAGAAATATACGCGCTTTACATCCAAAAAATAGAATCCTATGTGTAACAATCACGAAAGCCTAAGAACTCGATATTGTTTATTTCTGTTCAAAAAGCAGATTAATGAATGACAAATTAATTTAATATCTTGGAAACGCTATTGTTACCATTTATGTGGTCTGTGGTTATCATAAATATTTATTTTATTTAATATTACTTTTTAATTTTTTTATTTATTTATTCTTTATTTACTATTATTATATTACTTATTAATACAAATTTAACACTCAAATACGGTTTAGGTAATCCGCTACTACGGTGCCAATAAAATAATCCGTACCGTTAGTAAAGTCACATGTGATTTATACAAATAATATGAACTACTTGAAACAAGCTAGGTATATGGGAAATTTTATAACTCTTCGTCTTCTTTAAACCTCTCTCCTGACAATTTGTAATTTCGCAGATGGGGTTCGCCTTATTACGAATTGTTCAATTGTTCAACTGAACATCTACCTACATGTGCAAATATGCAGTAACAAAAAATTTTTCTTCAGAAAAATCGATTTCATGTTGTCAGATTTCTCATTATTTATAAAGCAATCAATGAATTAAAAACTTGAATAAATAAAAAAAAACCGTTCGACCCTAAAATATGCATTGACCACTGACATACTAATAGATACGCCTACGCCGTAAAAGCAACCATATTAGAAAGAGAAAGAATATTTATCAAACAAAATATGAACTGACCGCTTGCTTGACCATGCATGAGGCATGCGCCTGCGTTTAAGCTCTATACGAGACGCATTGCTGCTGACTCACCGGAACCTAACCACTTAGGAATTCGGGTAACATAAATAATTACCTTCTTTATCCTTTTAAATTTCAAAATAATGTATCTAGTTTTTAGGTTTTCGCGATTGTTACACATAGGGAATGAAACTATTTTTCCGGATTTAAATCGCGTATATTTGTTTTTTCAAACAAACCAACGTTTCGGACCCTTTACAGGTCCCATGGTCACGGTTGACTTGAGTAAATGATCAAAGACTTTTGACGTTGACTTGAGTCAACCGTGACCATGGGACCTATAAAGGGTCCGAAACGTCGAAACGTTGGTTTGTTTGAAAAAACAAATATAGGTACGCGATTTAAATCCGGAAAAGTAATTTCATTTCGTATTCAAAATAATGTTTTTAAAATGCATTGTTAATTTATAAAATTAAATTTATAGTAGGTTAATTTAATATGGGAAATAATATTTTGTTAATATTATTATTAATTATAATATTAATAAAATTACCATACTAAAAATAAGCTGCATTTCTACATCAAGCAAATAGCATTATTTTATAAAAGGTAAGTATATAACAAGTAATATAACCTCCAAAGACAGCATAAGTTGTAGTGTTTATTATGTAGGTACTTATTCTGTACTTTTATCCATGGATCAGGCAAATCTGATTACTTTAGGGTGAATTTTGTGTTGCTTTTGCTGCAACATTCGAAATTATTGTGAATTGGATATAAAATCAATTGCAATTTATTTTAACTTAATATACCTAAAGATGGAAAATTGTGGTTTGTACTCGAACTGAGTCTGTTCCTGTTTAATTGCATGTGACACGACATCGCATAGAGTGCATCGGAGATTATTCCTGCGGGAGTCGTTAGTCGCGAAGGTATGATAGTGAATGGTGAAACAATGACTCTGGAGCATGATTGGTGGGCATCATGGAGGTTAAAGCACCCCCCGCGCGGGGTGCGCTGCGCGACGTTGCCGTTCCGCCTGGAGGCGGCGGCTTACGGGTGCGCCGCGGCCGACTTGCCCGTTCGTGTCATACCGCGCGGTTCATTCTGGCGAGCGTCCGTGTGTCGGAGTCGCCCGCACTCTTCGTCGCTCACCTCAAACAAACTTAAAAACTCACTTTCCGCCGCCGGAAACTTGTTCCACCTTTTCAAAAAAACTGCTGTTACAACATCGTTGCAGCGCAAGATTCACTACTAATGAGTTTCATTGAACTTTTGTGTGAACTTTACTGAATGTACGTGAGATAACTTCGACACAACAAAACTTTGAAATAGTTTGTTGTAAGCCCTCGATGGTTGCCGTGTGCATGTGTCAACTTTAAAGTCATGGCTGAACGAAGTTCTTGCTAAACCGGTAGGTAAGTAAACGAAGTTTACCGGAAAGTACCTACTTGAATTCAATGTGAATGTATTACTTTACATTAAGGCGTCTACAAGGGAATCGAGTGCAATATTGTCTACATAATTAACTGAATGGTTGGTAATGACCAGCTGGCATAAATGGTTATCAGGGTCTGTACTGTCGTGGGAGATGTCTATTTCATTATACGGTCTGCGGTCGTGTTGCATTCCCAACAAGTCGGCGTCGTTCCACAAAGACGCCGCCATCGCATAATAAACAAAGGTGATGTTTATAATGTTTAATTTCTTCGAAGTTAGCGCTGTTTGACAACCAACGCCTCCGAGTAATTGTCCCCTGTTACCGATATACGGGCTCATGTTGCCCGCAACTGTCTTGCTTCGGACATTTCAGAGAACTACCCAAGTCTTGCTTGTGCGCATCTCGCCTTATCTTATTAACATTGGTAGAGTGAAATTTGACCTTCTTGAGCTATTTATTAGTCATCAATTATTTTGGAGTTTCACTGCATTTGCAGTGTGTTTGAACAAAGGCGAAGGTTTGCTTTTATATCTGGAAAATGGCGCAATAAATGAGTAATCAATAAAACGGTTACTTTAGTAATAAAATAACTAAATACAATGTCGTTTTGCACGTGTGCGATCCTTGTCTGAATGGAAGGTGAATGCAATATATTGCAACATTCTTGGATTTATTCGTATATTGTATTATATATTTCAAAATTTTATAAATACAATTGAAAGGGGCAGTTACAGTCTTACTCAAAAGACGAGAACATAAATTTAAATTCCAGAAAAGGCTTATTGAACAAAATATTCTGAAAGGTAGCAGAACTAAATCGGTTCATAAAATGATTGATGGAACATTACTATAAAACACTTCGAAGCTGTTTGTGGTAACGCCAAAAATCACTCTTCCAAGTTAAATCTAAAATGATGATTGATGTGAAAATTTTACCTTTATGGAAGAAAGAAATACTTACATAAAAATGAGATTAGACTTATGTATTCCATCTTGAGGTTAAGTAAATATTGTTATTCAATTTCACCTGGCCTAACGATTTGCACTGTGGGCGCTGAAAGTCCCGTCTTCGATTCCCGGTAGGACCAATTTGGGGAATGAACGTTTCTAAATTGATTCTGATCTGGGAGTTCCGGGTAGTGCCCCGGAGTGAATTCCGTTGCTCTGGTGTTCATAGTACACGGAATTTCATAGGAAGGTCTTCTTTCATAGGACCCTTTGTGAGCAGATTACCAAATTGTAAACTCATATTGTGAGTTTGACAATTTTTGTTTTAATTTCTGGCACATTGTTAGCGATTTTTGAAAAGAAATAACTACTATTTGCGATTTTTAAATTATCTATATCATCAAAAGTGTCTAGGGATCAAGAACGTTTTTGCCAATCACTGAAAATCAGTTTTTTTTGGTCAATTTCATAATTTAAGAAATAAATAATTTGTTGAATTTATATTTTTATTTAGTTTTAATAGGATAATAATAAAAAAAATAACCTTGATTCCTAGACACTTTTGATGTGTGTGTATCAGACATATTTATTTTTTATTGTTGTGTTGTTTTTGAATTTGGTTTACCAACAACTAATACATTGCGACTTATATTTAATAGGTACATTGCATACATTGTTTTGTGGTTTTAAATTTAAAGCACAGTTAAATTACAGTTCATGCAAAAACTTACAAAAGAAGCTTTTTTAACTCTATATTATATTAAAAACAAATGGCTACCTACGTCTGTACAACAACATGCTTATTTTATTTTAACATGTCTCGAAACCAGAGGCAAACAATCGTCAAGCACGTCCAAATATTCACTATTAATATTATAGGTCTAACCTACTACCTAATTCTATATATAGGTAGGTGGGTTTGTACCAAATTCAGTTCTTGGAAGAGATAGGCAAAATTGGATATTTAGTTGTTTTTATGTAATACCAAGTGACAGGACGAACAAGTCGTGCGCATGATGGTAAGCTACATAATAGTTGCAGGGTCACTCAGAGCTTTAAATCGCAATGATCTGAGGGGCATAAGTTGACAAGTCCCATGTGCCTATAATTTCACCAGCACCCTTACCCTTCAAAAGCGGAACACAGTAATGCTGACATTACTGCTAGGCAGTAGAACTAGGTAAGGCAGTACTACTCTGGACGAACTCTTGCACAAGGAGCTCTACTGCTACTAAAATATGGTTTTATATAGCAATATGACAAAATGATTTAGGACAGTTGTTCAGGAATGCCGTTAGATTCACCGCATTTTAATTATCGTACGGTCATGTGACAAAAATAAATAAATATAAAGCTTCACGGCCATAGTTACATAAATACTATCACGCTTTCCTCCGATGAGGTAGGCTGTGACTACGGACTTTGATTTGCGACGTTCCCGACATACCTCTTTTATCTCTACTTAGCAGAAATCGGTTTTTTCGGGTTTTAATTCTCGGCTACCCGGTTACACGGTTTTTTCGGAAATTTTTTCTACTGTCACCCTAGTAATTCTTTTAAAGTGTCAGAAAATTTAAAAAACATCAAACCAGTGTTTTGTAAATTATTTTTATTATTCATAAGGTAGAATTCACAGCTAATGAGATCAATCAATATCTCAAATTCTAATAAAAAAATTGACGGAATACAAGTCTAAAGTCTAAAACATCGAGATATTATAGAAAACACGTTGTTCTGGCGAATGGGCGAAATATCCATAAATAAATGAACATTGTATTTACAGACAAGGAATTAAACATCATCTTTTTCAGTCTGATTCTCTGTTTAAGATGTTCTAGCATCTGAGTGAGAAGTCTGATGAGTATGAGCAGCGGCGCAACTTGTTATTTTGGGGGACTTTAATGCTCACCATCAAGGATGGTTATGCCCATGTCAGATGACAGATGCTAGGAGAGAGACGCGAAAACTTGCGTTGACCCTTGTCAGTAGTGGCGGTACTGACAAGCGTCATGACAGGATCCCAGATGTTGAGTCTTATAAGGCTAATTGCTCGGACCTTCTAGCAGAAGCTAACAACTGAACCAGACTGATACTCTGGAGAATGACTTTCCCAATGGGTACTTCCGATCATTATCTTTTGAAAGCTGTGTCCGTATACTCCCCACCCGATCAGGACCCTAGTGGTAACAAGGCGGGTGTGGCGATATAGGTTAGCAGATTGGGATTAGTCCCAATGTAAAATAAATAATAATAAAGCCAGAATGGCTTGCTTTACTTCAGGGAAGTCAAGTTATGCTGGTGCTGTAGTCGACCCCAAGCTTTTCCATGGTTTAGCGCTTACTTTAGTCATGCTGAAGCACAAAAACAGTCCGCGTAATAAACTTCGGCAGATGCTTGACTGCGCAAAGCTCCAAATACCTACTCAGAATCTGAAGACAGCCTTTAATAAGACCGCCAAGAAGATTCTCCACTCGAATACACTGACTCAACGTTTTTTGAAGACATCCTTAATCTAGTTGAAATATGTACGCCGAGATCGACTATTTATGACTCACATTTTCATCCAAATTACATCTACGTATAAATTTGTGCCGTTACTCCATTAACTTCCATCCTTTCCACATGATGAAATCAGCGAAGCATTCCTTTTCTATCCTGGTCACTATATCATTTTTCACCCCACAACGTTCTCCAATCATACTGTTCCTCATTCTGTTTCTAATAATGATACCACACCTACTATGCAACGCTCTCATTTCATTGGCATTTACTTTAATGCATTTTCTGCTGTGCATCAGGATTGAAACCGGGGTTCGAAATTATCAAGATATTTTAATTGTAATGAATGTTATGATGTGTTACTACCATGATATTAATTGATTTTTTTTATTATTATTAATACAAAGATAAAACACAAAGAAAAATTCCTTCGATCTAACAGGACACCAACCTGCGTCTATGCCAAACCAGCGTGACCGCTCTACCAACGGAAATAAAGTTCGAGTCAGTAGGTCTTACGAATTTTTCTATGCGTTTATTACAGATTTTTGTGTATGGTTTTATGCCGCAGCGCCACCGGTGAAAAATCTATGATAATTGTTCTTTACTCAACCAGTCCAGTCAGATCGAAGGATTCTTTTATCTTCGCTGTGTGTATTACTATTATTTTCTTAAGATACTTATTTTCTTTGATAATTAACGTGATATTTATCTGATCATTATCCGATATTTATCCGATAATTACCATGCTGATTCATAGTTTTGTTTCTTTAATTTTGGAGTAAAAATGACAAACCGTGAGAACACTAAATAAACACGAAGAAAGATCTTTGGGAAAACGATTTGGTTTGTGACTTTTTTGAGATTGATAATTGACGCGTCTTAACGTGTATATGTAACGTATCTGAATACGTCTCAAACACAAAGTCACGCCATTTCTAGCGGTAGCATTTTGTTGCTCCAATTAATTTCATAAATATGAAGGTATAATTATCAAGTTATTAATTAGTGGATCTTCTGCCATTCCCAAAGCTCCCTACATGTGTCAGGAAACCAACAGGAAACTAACAACGCCTAACTGCGAAATTAGCTGTTTGTGACACACTATGGGTTACTCAAGGGTTTGCGAAATGCAATGCTATAATATTATTAGCACATAATTTAGAAACTCCTAAAGCCAAATATAAAATATAAGAATAAGTGCAGCATACTCGAATTGATTGATTTTTGGGAAACAGTCTCATAGGCAGATGGAGCGCGCCGAACACGAAAGTAAAGCCACCAAAGCAAATACAAATTCAAAAGCGAATACAAACTGGCGTCAGTACTAAGCACAGCGTCGCATTGTTTGCACGTCTCGAGTGATTAGTTATTTTATATTTAAAAATTATATTTTGTCTCTTTACAAAACAAAAAAAAATAAGATGGAATATCTTTTCACAGGGAACTATTGATTATTTAACTGTTTTGTAATTTATTTACCCAACATTTTTTAAGATTCACTCGAAACACAATACCTCGAGATAAATT